CCCTGCCCCCCCAGCTCTGCCGGTGCCCCTCACTCCCGACCCGCAGCCCCTGGCACTCACCCCAGCAGTCGCTGCACGCAGGCGGCACAGTACCGATGGCCACACTCTGTCTGCTGGGGCCGGATGAGCAGGAAGCCACAGGCCGAGCAGAGCAAGCCGGAGCCCCGGGCCGGATCCACAGGCTTGAGGCCTGCCCCAAACTTCACCATGGTGCCCCCTGGGCTGTGCGGCTGGGCGCTGGGGCTGGGAGACATCTGCTCGGGACGGGACGGGTTCAGGGTTTATATGGCACCGGCCTCGGGGCTGGGGCGGGAATTCCTGCCCGTGAGTCACCCTGTCCCAGCCCAGCTGTGATGCGAGAACGACGCCAGAGCCTTCCTCTTGGGTCATCCTGACGGGGAGTGAGGGGTGTGACGGGGGTGTGTGCCGGAGAGCCGGGGTGGGGGGAGAGAAAGAAAACAACGACATCAGAGGAAAGAACGAATAAAAGGAATGGGAAAAGGAAAGAAAATGGACAGAAGAAAGAAAGCAAAAGGGAAATTCAAGGATAGAAAGAAAACCATGATACAAATGGAGGAAAGAAAAGAAAAATGGATAGACATAGAAATAACGTGGGTGCAAAAGCAAAGGGCATAGCAAAAAGGATAGAAAGAAAGACACGAGTTAAGGAACAAGGGGAGGAAAGAACAAATGAATGAGGGAATGAAAGGATGGGAGAAGAAAGGAAAGTCACAAAGAGTGAATGAAGGGATAACCGAACGAGTGGGGGCACAGATGAGGGAACGAAGGGCTGAATGAAAAAAGAAAGAGGGAGGGAAAAAGGCGGGAAAGGAAAAAGGAGCCGGAGGATGAAGGCGGGAAAGGAAAGGAAGGAAGGAGTCAGTGAAAAAAGAAAAGAACGCGCGAATGCGTGAAGGAAAGCAATCGGATGAAGAAAACCGAACGAGGAACTGACGAAGGATGAACAGACGAGGAAGGAGACAGAACGAGGCAATGGAGGAGAGACCGACAGGAACGCGGACGCCAGACGGCAGAGGGATGGACGACCGAGGAAGGGTGGCGGGAAGAGAGAACTGCAGAAAGGACACGGGCAGGGTCGTCCGGTGCCAGCCGGGCAGGGCTGGGAGCTGGGTCGAGCCCGGGAACAACCCTCCATGTCAGGCCACTCCCCAGAGACACTCGCACAAGGACAGTGTCCGTGTGGGGTCCTGAGGGGATGGGGGCTCGGTGCCCCTCACTCCCGACCTGCAGCCCCTGCGAGCCCAGCCCTGGGCTCTCCCACAGCTCTGCCGGTGCCCCTCACTCCCGACCTGCAGCCCCTGCGAGCCCAGTCCTGGGCTCCCCCCAGCTCATTGGGGGACATTTCCCCAGAGACACTCATGGCCTCCCCTCCCCCTGGCCTCAGGCCACCCTGTGCCCGTTCCTGGACGCAGGGAGCCTGCGTCAGTGCCCAGGCGCCTGCATCATCCCCAGCCGGGCGGCGATTCGGGGCCTTTACACAAGACATTCACTTCCCCCCACAGCTTCCGAGGTCACACGAGGGAGGAAACCGCAGGACTCGGCCTGCCCCCTCCCCGAGGTCTGCCGGTGCCCCTCACTCCCGACCCGCAGCCCCTGCCAGCCCAGCCCTGCCGGTGCCCCTCACTCCCGACCCGCAGCCCCCTGCTAACCCAGCCCTGGGCTTTCCCAGCTTTGTGGGTTTGCTGAGGGCTGCTCCCTTCG